GGGATGCACTGCATGTCCCTTGCAAGGAGGCTCCGTGGTGCATGCAAACCTCTGCTTTCCAGGCAGCCAAATGCAGTGAAAACACTGTGTATTTTTCATTTCTGCACTTGGGGATACTTGTTATAGTCAAGAAAGTTTCTCTTCACTGTGAGGGTAACATTTAGTGATTCCTCGCCAAGTTTATGTGATGCCCAAAGAGGTGCACCAGAAGGAAGGAGCAGCATCACCTCTGTTTAAATTTACACACCTGCCAAAAAGAAAAAAAGAAACCAAGATTTCTTGGCTTGAAACAATTCATGGTGTTTCAGAGTTATCCTACGGGGTCATTCCTGATAGCAAATAATACCTTTTATGTATGTTTGCCTTCACTTCCCTGCTATCAATCACTTGCACTGCCCTGCCTATGAAGATGATAACTCTCATCATCAATATGTGATCTAGCAAGATTAATGTTGTGTAGACTAAGCCTAGGAGGTTCCAGGTACCCTGCCAAGGTATTATTTTAAGCACTCAAGAATTATTTTAGGCATTCAAGGTATTATTTTAAGCCCTCACATGTTTCCTTGAAGGAACTGGTCCACACACAAACAAAATTCAAGGGGAGATTTCCACAAAATCTGATAGGAAAGGCCAGTGTAACAGTGAGGGGTGCTGCAGGGTTTAAAAAAGAATGTGAAGTCTGAAAATCTTTGTTTCCGTATACTAACAATAACCTAAATATTGTGTACAGGAATTTTGTTTKGTAATCAGGATTTCTCATTGCCTTAAAATTTTCCAATGTTAGCTGAGTATGCTTTTGATTTTTATTGTAATCTGCTGAAAAACATTCTTATGTTTTATTGATTTAGGCAAGGTGCCAATGATTGAAGCTATTTTGTCTGTTGAACTTAAATAGTCATAGCAAACCTTACAGCAGAGCAAAAGTAACTTTTCTTCATATAGAGCTTAATGTCAATCTTGGGCCAATARGGTATATTAATTTCAGTTTTATTCCACTTTCCCAGCCAGTGTTGCAACAGAATGAAAAAGCAGACTGAAATAGTTTGTGTGCATATCTGAAAGATGTGGCAGAAAATTATCAGAAAAATCCTATGGCTCTCCAGAAGTCTTGCCCAGGTGATTCATTGGAGACAAGGATTATTGAGGAGCTTTTCTCTCTGTATTGCTTCCTTGCTTTAAGATATCTATAGCCTACAGATGCAAGATTTAGGACATTAGGCAAGTGTAAACTTGTACTTTCTGTTGGAAATAAAGTTTAGACCTCTGCAAGAAGTCCGGGGATGGTGATAAAGTTGAGTTCCATGAAGAAACTGGATAGAGTAGAACAGAAATAGAATAGAAATAGAATAGCTTTCTATTTAACTTGCAATTTCCCAGTGTCAGATCTGTGCACTGTCACTGTCAGGTACTAGCAGGACATAATTCCACTAACTGTACAAGCAAATATTAACTCCTAACCACTCCTAAAGAAAAATTACTAAAATGTGCAGCTCCACATTGTAGATCACACTTCCCTTTTCCAGTGCCAACTCTGCTGCACACTCTCAGGGCAGTAAAAAAGACTTTAATGTAAAGCTCTTCCTTTCAACAAAACATATAAGTTTTCCTTTTTCCTTTTTTTTGCTTGGTTTAGATATGGCAAACACAAAAGGTGTAACCTGTGTTAGAAAAGGAAGAATTGGTCTCACCTATAACCAGTGCTCCCCAACCTTGTGTGGAGATCTGCACTATTAGTCACACAGCATTTGGGGTCCATTAAATCTGCTTTCAAACAAGAAGAAAAAAAAGAAAAAAAAAGGAGAGAAAGAGGTTGGAAATGGTGGTATTTGAATTAAACAACTGGAAAATTGAAAGGACTTGGAGACTGCGTCTTTTACTAAAGTTAATGTGAATGCCTCTAGGCAGTATTTAAAATTGCTGAGATCCTATTGTTTGTGGTTTGGAAGCGAACTAAACATGTTTGAAAAATCCTGAACTACTTTTTTTTTCTTACAAGTCGTGTTCATAATCAGATTTTTTTTTTTTTTTTTTTTTTTTTGGTAGAGTCTCATTTCTGTTGAGCACGAAGAAAGCTGAGAAACTAGCCAGGTGGTACGAAACCATGCATATTTCAGATAAAGCAAAATGTTGGTCAGAAAAATATAAATTGAATGATATTTTCTTTTCAGGAAGCATTTCCTTCAGAAGTATGTCATGTCTTCTTCGGATGAACAAATCTCTGATGTTGTATTCATATACTACAAAATTGAAAATGGGAGAATTTAGAATCTTACTCCCTTATAATTATTTCTACTTGTATCATTTATTCCTGGTAGCTAATTAATCATATCTAAAATGCTAAAATGACAGCAGTAGMATTTCTCTCCATTGTTCTGCAGGATGATAAACATTAGTTGATTATCAAAGGAGTAAAATAATTGTAAATCTTGACTGATGGTGATTTGTTTTCTACTTTAGAAAAAATATCTGCTTAGTGATGATGAGAAAATCTCAGATTTTCAGGTGCAAAACCTGTCAAGTCTACACAGATCTACTGAGGTTGAAAATCCACCTTTCATAACAAGTGTTTTATGAAGGGAGGTAACAGAGAGGCTGACATCGCTAACCTGTACTTAGGCCAGCCCTAAGCTTGGTCTGCCTTAAAAAACACACTGAAAACTTTTGGTCATCAGTGCAAAATTTCCAGTTGCCAGTTTAGTCATTCTGCAAGAAAAATTCCTAATGTTAAAGCTCTCAATTAAAAATCCTGGTAACTGGCAAGTTACCAGTCCTGGTGTTATAGAGCTTGTGATGCATTAGGTGATGAGCAGGGAAGTCCTGTTCTGCAGCCAGGTAGGTGTGAGGGATGTGACTCACCATGAAGCCAAAGGGACCACCAGCTGCCTCCTCCTGTGACAGGATGATCCTGCTTGTTCTGATATGATCTGTCCATTCACCTTGGATTTCTTTGCACAAAGAGTTGAAACTCAGTTTTCACTGCTTTTGACAAAATACAGACRATGTTTGCAGGGATCAAAACGTTCTGTTTAAAGAGATTCTGTAAAAGTAATAAAAGTCTGTAAGGACATTTGGCCAAGACTGAGATTCTGTCATCGTGAGCATATCTACAAGGAGTGAAGCAATGCCCAGAGCAGCTGTAATTGATTGCCTGGCCCTTGCCATCAGCATTACTGATGGTGCATGGTGCTGCCTTCATGGGAAAGATTTCAAAAAGCGTAAGCGGAGACTGAGAGGCTAAGCCGAGCTTTAGAGGGCAGAGGCAGGTRGACCTGGCTCCAGGGCAGCATTCCTGGTGTCTTTTGGGGGAAAATGCAATTTTTGGGTGGGAAGAAGAGTAGAGTGCTCTACACTTTGCTCCTCATCTCTTCAGACTGCGTAGTAGTGGCTGCTTTCCAAGAACAACTCAAATGCATGCACTGGAGTTATTCCCAGCATTATTTGGGATTTTTCCTCACATGTATTTTAACTGTATAAATCATCATGATAAAAACAGATATTATACAATCTATACGTATATGTGTGCATGACTGTGTATGTACATGTATGTGTATTAGAGCTGTCTTTCTAATTCTTGTGTCTATGAAGAAAATAGTCTAAATGTAAAACAGAAACAATTAATGCATGTTTTTTAGCACAATATTCAGAAATCAGATAGGATCTGTCTTTCTTCTACTGTTTATTTCTTGGTATTACTGGGTTTGTGTTGCTGATTCTGTTTTTTGTTTCATTATTTTCCTTCTTTGTATTGCATGTATTTATTTAGTGCTGACTGTTGTGCAAGCCAGAAAATTATGTCAGCACAGATTGCCATGACAGATTTTTTCTCAGTGTCAAAGCATTTGCAAATGCAAAACAAATCCCCAAACAGAGCAAAACAGAGAAATACATGTAACAGATATAAGGATGTTTGGCTATTACTTCTATATAATGCTCATGTTTAATGAGTAAATATTTAGCTTCCATTTCCTTATTATGCTTGCTGTTCCCTCCATAAATAATGCCTTCTGATTATAGAGAGGTGATTTATTCCTTATTTAAAAAGAAAAATAAAGTTGGAAACAAGCCACTTAACACAGGAAATGTCTGTAAGTTTTATTCTATGTGATAAAATCTTTTTTTTATGGAAGTAGTATTTTGTCATATTTATTTTCATCTTGGAGTCCAGAGAAATTTAGAATCATGTGATTCAGCTAATGTTATGCATAATGTGCTTGACAGGAATTTGAACTTAGGTACTTTTCGCATTTAAAATCATATGTACGTAATTTCTTTTTTTTTAAAAAAAAAAAAAAAAAGCTGTATTACTAGTGATAGCAGTAAAAACAGAAGAACTTGTGGCTAATAGAAAACAGACAGCCATTCATGCTATGCTGAAGGAAACATTTCGACCCTGGAGCAGACTGTAAATATGGATGATGAAAGAAAAGCAGGAATAAATTGGCAGGAAAATCTTGCTCCCTTCCTCTCCTTCACCTTTGACTTCCCTCTGACTCGGTGCCACTTCTGTCCTAACCACATGGAGTGGATCCTTGGGGGCTGCTGGCCCCTGTTCCCTCATTTCTGCTGACATTGATGCACCCCTGAGCCTGCTCTATTGGGCACTATTAACATTTAGTGCCTGCAGTTGCACAAATCACCATCGCATCCGCTTCTTCCTCAGGGCACCACGCCAGCGGGAAAGTATCTCTGTTTCKACAGCATTGCTCTGCTGATGCAAAACATCTCAGTCATTTGATAGGTCTCCATTACACATGGACCAGGGTGCTCTTCTTGCATAGCATCAGAAGGAATTTCCCTGGACAGATTTGTAATAAAAAATCTGCTGTAATTAAACAGCTCTTTTCACGGAGTTTTGGGGTGAAGAATTGGGGTTGCACTCCATTTATTTTGCTAACGCCTCTAATGTTTTCCTTGCCATTTTGAAGTGTCTTGTTTGGCTGGTTTGTTACTTTTTTTTTCCCTTGCAATGATAGTTTCTCCTTCCTTGTGTTGTGTTCCAGTTGCGATCGAGCTCGGAGCTTGACCAGGACATCCTGAATGACTGCCTGACAATCCAGCCTCTCCAGCCTTCCCCTTCACCACACGATGCAGCAAATACCATGAGACTGTCCCCAGAGTCACCTCATGAGATCTACCCAGGTACAGGAAAGGGACAGAAAAAAAGGGGGAAAAAAGCCTTATTTATTGTTTACTTAACATTTTGGATGATTTTGCAGCACAGGATGTCCTCTAAAATCATCCTCATCTCATGAAAAAGGTAAAACTTGSAAAGTAATATGAAAATACAGATTTTTACATCTTTTGGGATTGAGGAAAGRGATGATAAATCTTACGTTATCCATAACCTACCACAAGGAGGGCTCATTTTGCTCTATGAGTATTTGGCTTCTGCTACCAGTTCATTTTTGCCATTCCTTCTAGGCATCTTGAATGCATAAAGTTTCATTTGGAATTTAAGGAATATTCTCCTTCTTCATTATTCATATATTACATATCAGTTTTCTCATGGATCTACATCAGTGTTGCATTACGAGCACTCCTATTTTGTGTTACTCTTAAGTATGCCAATAAACACATTTAAGGYATAGAAGTGATAATCCTATTTTTATTGCTTTGGTAAGTATTTGGGATTTTCTTATTAAGATACATAACTTTCCTGCCTGGCTAAATGTACAATGGCTGTTCACACTTCAGCAGAATTTGAAGTATTTGAGAATTTACAAGTGATAATACATCTCAAAGTTCAGCCTAAGGCAGTGTAGTATATTAATGGTTTTTATGAAACACTTTAATACTTGTGAAGACTTCTGTTTTTAACTGCCATGCAGAATGCATTACATCTTCTAATAATCTTTATTCTACTACAGATGAGAGTCCAAGCCTTAATTGAGAAGCAGATGTAGCAAGTGAAGGAGTTGGCTGCATGATATGTGCAGCAGTAGAAGTGGCATTTTCTGAAGTGGCCACTTGGAAAAAGTGGTTTTATTTTATTGAGAGGCTTGCAGACAGAAAGTTCTSAAATGCTTTTGTTAAGGCTATTGTGAATTATATGCTGGCTTGTGTTGATGTAGGTTTGTATTAAAAAAGACCAGGAAATTGAAAACTATGTTTCCTACATTGACTGAATCCTAATTTATGAAACCCTTGTTACTACTATGCTCTCAACTTTTTTTATAAAACTCTTATTATTATTATACTGTCAGCCATTACATGCCTTAGTCTGGTCACAGTCAGAATATAGCACTGGTTGTTTGAGAGCTAAAGGAAATTTCAGATTTTAAAGATAGGTTTTGGAGCAGGAAACTTCTGCCTCCCCTCAGTAATAATATAGTGCTGCTTACATGTGTTTTATTTATTGTACTTTGAGGTCGAGAAAGATACTGGGAAAAGTTTAGATAAAAAGGGAGTTACTGGGATTAGTGTAAAAGAAAACTTATAGAGAAGATTGAGTTTATCCTCTCAAGTGCCTGGAAGTCATGGAAGAAACGCAGGAATTCCTGAACATTTTTGCAGGGGGTTTCCACTGAAATCTCTTGAGCACTGAGCCTTTTACAAATCAGGCTTTTAGACTATACTTAAATGTTTAAAATCCAAGCTGATGGATCAGTTTGAACCTAGGCTGGTAGCGTGTCCCAATGATGTGTCAGAATCCTAAGCCAAATAAAGTGATTTCTGGTAGCCAGCCCTAGGCTGAAAATAGTCTGCAGGCAGGATAGTCCATACATGACTTCTGAGATGTGTCATAACATTTTGTAATCTCATTCATGCCTTGTTTTTCAATATTGAAATTCTTTAACCTAGTAATCTTATTTTTTCCCTTACTTGCGACTGCATCCTACTGTGCAGCAATTTTTCTACTGTCAGAGTTAATCAACATCAGCAGTATTTTCTCTGTATAAGTACCAAGCTGGTTTCTCTTACACAAGTGTTTTCCCCTGACCACAGCGTAGCACATTTCTCCTGGCTTTATTTTCTTGTTCACAGAAAGCAAGCGGTGTTGTGTCACCTCAATTCGTGTAGGGTGTTGTGTCAGAAATAAATGGATCCATGTCACTTCATTTTGTCAATGACCCAGTCCAGATGAAATGGATTGTTTCATTAGCTGCTCATCAGGGCTGATAGGTAACATACTGTGCAGAAAAATGAGACAACAACAGAGAAAGAATTATTTGAGGGGAAAGAGCAATCTTAAAGTTAATCATACCTCAAGGAGAGATGAGCAAAACATCAAAAATCTTCAGTATAGTGACTTGGAAAAGCTATCCTTCTGATATCTAAAATATCTAAACCTCAAAATATCTAAACCTATCTGATATATATCTGAAATGGAACATTTAGCTGCTAGTCCATTGACTGTTGACTATTAAAATACAATAATGTCTATAACGATTTTTATTTTGAGGCACAAAATCTACAACTGCATTCATGTTTAAATAAAAATACAAAAAAATATCTTTTGATTATGCCGGTAGTACTTAAAACTAAGGTTAAATAAAAGTTTGATCAAGGCCTATGTCATTTTATAAAAGAAATGTGAACAGAATATAAACTAGTGAATTTACTAGGGTAACATTAGAGGTCCCTCACTTACAAACAAACAAACAAAAAAATCATAGCCCAAAGTAAATCAGATTACTCTACAGAGTGCTATATAAAAGCATTCGTTTATTTTAGTGCTTAGAATTAACATGCATCCTGCAACCATTCAGTGAAACATTTCAGAATATTATTGCTTGAAATACGTCCAGAATGCTTCCAGGCAATGCATTCTGCTCACTGTCAGTCTAACATCCTCTGATCACATTAGGTAGGTAGGCAGTTAATAAGACATAGATGAGGGAAGACACAACCTTTTTTTTTCCCTTCTTTCTCCTTATGAACTACCACAATATTTGAGAGGAAGGAGGGACAATGAAAAATGTCTATTGTATAGAGGTCTAAAAAGAGGTCAAATAACATTCAAAAATTAGAATATCCCATCTTATTTAGCATGTGACTTGYTTTGTTATTTCTTTGATAGTAGCCATTACCATTTTTATCAAAGGCCTGTAAGTTACCTCTGTGCTAGCTCTGACATTTTTATTCTGATGCAACTGGTAATTTCGCAATGAATTTCTTGTTTTTTTTCTCTAGTTTTCTGAGCCATAGAGAAAAAAAAATCTTAAAAAACAGTATATCTCAGGACAAGGCTTCTGTTAAGGACCTTGGTCACAAGAGCACCTTGTGTTCTAAGTGTTGTGATTCCTCAGTATTAAGGATAGGAGGTCTCAAAGGCAGAGTTCAAATGAAGAGGTCTCCAGAAAGAACTAGATTTGGTTACTACAAAAGGTGTTTCCCTGGACTTGTTTTCCTCTTCAGCCTTAAGTTTTGTACATTTTTTGTCCATAAGGACATTATAAGCCTTCAGGAGACCTCCAGGAGCTCTGATCTACCTGTAGACCATCGTAGAAAGACACAGAGAGCATCACTGCAACCCACATAATGGGCCAACCTTGCAATTTGCCCTTCATAATGTCACTTTTTCATCTGACATGAGTCATAACCTTCAACTTCATAACAGTATTTTGATTGCTGCAGCATTTCTTAACCTATCAAGGCCTCTTTCAGATCCATACATACAGGAACCGTCAGAGTTAACAGAGGACCTGGGCAGGATCAGTAAAATATCTGCATGCAGCAGGTTTTACATTTGCTGAACTTATCACCTAAGTCTCAGCAGGACCCATACACACATATTTCTGACCAGAAGATCCTATAGAGAAGCGTGAAGTGTAGTGAAGTATGGGCACCTAAGGAAGAACAGAGGGAATGGCACTGATGTTCCTAAGTTCAAAAACTATTTCAAATTTTCCTTTCTAKGCACTGCTAAATCCTTTATTCACAAGGATAATATAAAAATTCCCTATAGAAATGTACTCCCCATAGAAACGTAGTATTAAATATAACAGTTCTAAAAGTCTTGAAAATTAATGAGTTTATGATTTCAATGTGGACTACAAAATGAAACCTTCAGACTTTCTCTATATACAAAGAATGCTCAGGCCTTCCCCCAAATCCTGTGAGCAGAAGKGGGAGGGGAGGTATTTTGAGGGCAGAAGCAGACTGCCAGAATGGTGATTTGATATAATAAATCCAAGGAATTAATTATACCCATGTTGGTAATTTGCACAGAGGACGATGATAATTCTGTATTTAAAAAGCGTTTCATGAAATTATAGGTTTCAGACTCCTTCAAAAGACAAAATTAGATTATTTTCTTAAACTTAGGTTTCAATAAAATTTTAAATGCTACTTCTCTGCTTTTTTCTTTATGAAGGAATCTTGCTCAGATCTTTTTTTTCTCTTCCTTCCACATGGTTTGTTCCTATATMAACTTACTAGAATTCATGTGAGTTTAACTTCTCATACAGAGAAAATGTCTTTGCAGAGATAACTGAAAATTCCTTTGTGTTGATAATTTGATTTCTGATGAAACTCCAGAAACAAAAACTTGAATCCTCCCTTTCAGTGACTGTAATTGGGTAATCTCTCTGGAGGTAACTCAACCTTGCGTTCACATTCAGGGCTACATCTGTCTTGTAACCCGTGACGTAACTTTTTAAGATGCCAAGTGGGTAATTGTATTTGTTTTAGTTTGTTTTGTTTTCAGACTATCCATACTTTTTTAAGATGCTTTTAATTGGGCTAATTTGAATTGTGTTGCTAGAAAGAAAAGCCTTTTGTTAAATATTGTTCATATTTGTTCTGTGCTTTTCTGTGCACACCTACGTGTTGGTATACTGGAGTCAGTGGGAATGGTTATTGCCAGAAATATTGTCCTGGTTTCATACCACTTAGGTTGAACGTTTAACTGTGATCATGCATTGAAAGTTGTTCCTTTAGATAAATATTTCCTAATGTTACTATGAGCAAGCAATAGAAATTTAACAGTGCTAGAAAAGTTTGTCCCACACTACTCCCAGGAAAAAGGTGATGAAGCAACTTAGTGATTAGTACAGAATTACTCCAAGTTTTTTGTCAGTCTCTGAAGACTGTCTCTGCTAGGGCATTGGCCTGATGCTGAATATATTTGTGGACTGCATGGGTCTGTATGCACCCAATGTCTTTCAACATTCCTTCCACATRTTTTTTGCAAGGTTTAAGGTGTCACTTGGCCTAATGCTGTGCCCATCCTGGGAAGTTTAAAGGGCAGCAATTCCTGCTGGCAGTTCCAGCAGATTTCAGTCCGCTGGGTGCTCACAGACAGGCTTATTCCAACACGGTAGCTCCACGCACCTTGATTCATGGGTTCCCAGACTAATCAGGGCTGTGCTGTCTTTATGGGGTTTCATCACAAGGTGCAGTGGGCAGAGTTGTGTAAGGAGGGAAAAGCTCTTTACTTTTCCCCCTTCAACCAAAAAAGTCTTTGAGATGGGATTATGATGGGATCATTTCTAAATGACTCTCTGTTCTGCAGTTTCTGTACAGATATTGTAGGCATTCTTCACCTCTTATGATGTTCTTTGAGGACCTGGTTAAAATCCTAGAGTTTTATCAATGAGGTTGGGTGAAATAATTGTTTGCRTGTGTTATAGGTAGGATTTCCAACCACAAATTAAGATTAAACTTTTAAAAGACAAAATGAAAGATGTAATAACCAGAGATAGATTATTTTCATACTTGTAAAGTAATTGAGGGTTTATAAGATATTTAAAATACTCATTATTTTGGTAGTCATTCAGTGTCAACGTAAGTCCCTTCACACAGATGACAACAGAAATAGTTGAGTGCTTTTGCAGAGGGATTTGATAATCAGGATCTGGTCTCATAAAYGCCTAATTTAAGGAACTTCTGAAAATAGGATTATAGAATTTGGGTTCAACTTATGAAGACATTGTGCAGGAGTGCTTTAATGCTTTATGTTTAAACATTCATAACTTTTGCAAGAGCAACCTGAGAACTAATAATGCTAGTTYATGTGTGTATATATATATATATACACATATATATGTACATATATATCATAGAATCATAGAATCATAGAATGCCGAAGGTTGGAAGGGACCTCAGAGGTCATCGAGTCCAACCCCCCTGCTCATGCAGGGTCACCTAGAGCACGTGGCACAGGRCTGCATCCAAGCGGGTTTTAAAGATCTCCAAAGAAGGAGACTCCACAACCTCTCTGGGCAGCCTGTTCCAGTGCTTTGTCACCCTCACAGKGAGGAAATGCTTCCTTAAGTTCCTGTGGAACTTCCGATGCTTCAGTTTGAAGCCATTTCCTCTAGTCCTATCRCTGGCCACCACTGAAAAGAGGCCGCCCCCTCCTCCTCACTGCCTCCCTTGAGGTATTTATACACGCTGATCAGGTCCCCCCTCAGCCTCCTCTTCTCCAGGCTGAACAGRCCCAGCTCTCTCAGCCTTTGCTCACAGGGCAGATGTTCCAGGCCTCTGATCATCCTGGTAGCCCTGCGCTGGACTCTCTCCAGCAGCTCCACATCCCTCTTGTMCTGGGGAGCCCAGAACTGGACGCAGTACTCCAGATGTGGCCTCACCAGGGCTGAGTAGAGGGGGATGATCACTTCCCTCGACCTGCTGGAGATGGATATGGGTCTCCCCATATATACACGTATATATGCATATGGGCGATGGGCAGTTATGGGGACAATAAATATTTGATCTTTTCTTAAAGATCTTCAAAAAATTCAAGACTTAGTAGGATGGTGAAGATAGAGAGGATTTCACTGCTTAGGTAACTGAGCTTTTTGTTTGTTCAGTGGCTCTATACATCCCAATAGCCATTTTACCATCTTTACATCCCAATAGCCATTTTACCAGTATGAAGCTGTAGAATGTCAGGATTCAACCTGAAGCTGAATAAGGTTATTCAAGCTTATTCAAGGAAAAGCTTGTTGAGCTTATTCAAGAAAAAAATCTCACAAGTAGTTGGTAGTTGTGTTGCACATCGTTTTAGGAGAGTATCATTTGGCACTAGCCAAGTTCCTGTGATCAGGGGAAGCTTTTATGATTTTTTCTTTACACGTTAGCAGGAAACAAGTCCAGGAAAGAACAGTTTCTGATAAGAGCATTAGAGACTTTGCAGAGGAGAGTTGGGGTGGTGGCTGGTGGTGCATGGCAAACCTGACCTGAGGTGTTTCTCTCTTCTCGGTTTCAGCTGCCGTGTTCCCCGGCCTCCAGATGAGCCAGAGTGCCACCACAGCGGTGGGAGCCGTGTCCTTGTCCCAGCCAATCAACCTCTCCTCCCCGGGGTGCAACATGCAGGGCAGTCCTCACCATCCACATCAACAGCTACCTCTTCTCTCAGCTGTGGACTCTGAGAGGTAAGACCACCTCTTTTTATTTATCTTCTTCCTTTTACTTCATTTTGAAAAGCCTGAGGAGTAACCTCAGGAAGTTGCTTGAGTGGGTAGAAACATTGTCACCCCAAGGTGATGACCAAGGAGAAGCCAGGTCTGACATGTGGGACCTGGTGTCTGTCTCTATTGAGGGACTTTCTGCGAACACCACCATGATCTCCAGCAATGACCTGAACAAGCCAAGTCCTTCCAACTGGGACGTGTCAAACTCCAGAGGAGCCCAACAGCACCTCCCAGAACACACTCCCTGGGATCCAGTGTTTCACTGTATGTGCAGTGGGAAGCTCTGAACTCTTTCCTCTCAATATTCTCTCAGTTCTGAGCGTCTCTGCAGGAACTTGGCATCTTCTGTCTTTTCAAGAGGAATGGATAATGAATGGATTTTGTTTTTAGTTCTCCAGTTTCAGAGCTTGATTTATAGTCAGGACTCATTTTTTGCTGGCTAGAAACAAGGCGCCTGAGCTTTGCTGTTTTCATTATTTCATATATTTTCAGAATGAAAGCAAATTGCGTGAAAGTGGTTTAATTTTCATTCTTGGGTGTTTCATAAATTATTTTCAGCAGTCCTTCCAATTATTTATATCCTATATGGTATTATACATTTCCACTTTGTTTACTGAAACTGAAGTCTGTTAGATCGTGAGAATAAAGAGACTAAGTAAATAGATTTTCAGTAGCAAAATCAGCAAGATACACTGTCACACTTGAAAGCTATTGAATTCTTAATATCTGTGTTTGGAAATTTTATTTATAAGGCTTTGTTTTCCTGTCTCCCTGACTTTCAGCATTCTAACGCATTATTATCTGTATTTCATTAATGCATTTCAAGGTGTTTAATCTCCTTAAGGGATAGAAATGTCAGTAATTTGGAAAGCATAAAATGTCCAATTATAAACCCCAAAAGAATGCACCCTAGGCATCAATTACTAAACAACCAAGCATAATTTTGTTTGACGAAAGCCGTACTAACTCTGCCTGGAAGAACAGAATGGCTCAGGGAAACGAGATGAGCCAAAAGCACTTTTCATTTTCAGTCTGAACACTTGAATTCAGGCAAACCTGGAGCCATGGTTAGTGTTTTTTGGCACAGCAGTCTGAGATTGCCACTTCGTGATGGTCTGAGCTATTTAAGGGTTCATTCCCCTGCCTGTTCGTGGCCACAAGGACCCAACYGATTTCCCTGGCACTGGCTCTGGTCATCCTTGGAAACCCAGTGAGCTGCTGAAGCTCTCTTGCCTCTCTGGGAAATTTTCTTTCCTAGCACAGTTTTCTTTACGGTGAGTCAAGCCATCATGTCCAACAAATGCTGGAGCCCCGCATAACAGGCAATGTTAGATCAGCATCTATCACCATCATTAATTTATTAATAAATTTAATAAATTATTAATAAATAATTAATAAATAATTAATTATTAATAAATAATTAAATTATTTATTAAAAATAAATAAATGTATAAACCCCAGTGATCTCATTGGCATGTTTCTGAAGTGGTGACTCTTGCATGAGCACAGCAGAAAATCAAAGTGTGACTTAACTCGTGAAACCCTTGGAAATATTGCAGACCTCAGGATAGTACAGAATTCCGCAGATTAATATTGGCAAGCAGCTAGCCTGGAACGAGCTTCTCARTTCTCATATGCTGTAGTAACTGTTTACACTGTCTTTTTTGTCTGCTCTTTCCTGTATGCAAAACTGCTCAGGCTTAAAAACAACAACAATGAATCAAAAACCAAGAACTTCATTTAGGCAATTTGACAAATGGAAATCTATATTCAAAAAAGAAAAACTGTTTTGCTGTAGTGTTGATTTGATTACAGAACACGTAGCACACATTAAGACAAATGCTTAGAATGAAAACTAATATAGAAACTGTTTCTGGAATGCAAAACAGATCACTTACATAAGCCCCTGAAAGTTGACTCTCTTTATGCCATTTTGGGAGGAGGAGTGATGATAGCATATGAAAATGTGAACCAGGGGCCATAGGCTTTGACCAAAGCCTTTGACAAGCATGGATTAGGCTTTTTATCTTCTACTCATCAAGCAGACCTGCAGGATTTAGGGGCACAAGGGTCCCAGAGCCAGGACTGACTAAACAGCCTGCGTCTCTGGGACTTTATTCATCTTTTGGGTTAGAACTGGACCACGCCATCCTTGTGGCCAGGGTGCCAGRGACAAGCGGACAGAGAGATAGTTGGGTGCCTTCTCTTCCGCTTTTATCCACCTTGTGATGGGAGGGAACTGCAGAGCAGATGGCACAAGACCCTAGGCCTAATTAATGTGAAAGTCTGACCTGAGCAGGGGGATCTATCTTATCCCACTCTGCTTCTGCATGAAAAACTGGGTGCAAGGTGCAAAACAGGGTGCTGCATCCAAGAAACTGCCACACACATGAAAGAGAATATGCACAATAAAAAAGCAAACTTTATTTTTTGTGGTCCCAACTGTTAGGGTCTAAGCTTCAACACTCATCTAATTTGCAATAATCTCTTAAATATTGACTGTTCAATGAAGATAGCAACTGATGACAGTACACGAAAATCATGTATATGAAAGGGAATATAAATATGACTTTGCTTACTCTCTTTTTTTTATTATAAAGAAGATGGGGCATACTTAAACCCCAGAAAAAAAAATCTATTTTTATATTATTAACATATGCTACTCAGTGGAATAAAACTATTGGTGCTTGTATGTTTTTGCAATAAGCATGAATGTCTTTGGTAGCAAAAAAATCCCTGACATACATTTTGCTTTTTAAGGCTCACTTCTGTGCAAGAAATAACGTGTTAGCAGACAGGAGATTAGAGCAGAATTTTTGCATGGGACATTGTGCTCTGTGTAATTTTTCACCGTTCTGTGAACCATGGCTGGTGGTATGGCCATGAGGGATGACACATATGACACAATTTCTAAACTCTGTATAAAGTTGGAAAGAAAGACTTGGGACTGAACTGTCCAATTACTGTAATGCTATAATAAGTTCTGTGGCAGTGCTTCTGTTTGCTTATTCGGGTATGTGGTTATATTCCTTTTATGCTTCTGCTATAAGATAGTAAATGCCTCCAAGACAGACTTCCAGACACAAGAGCCCCTGCGGGGATCCAGCCATGGAATCAGGACATCTAATAATGTCCATACATTACAAAGCCCTTTGTATGTGGCAAACAAGGGACAGCTCTTGGAAAGCCTTTAGTTAGAGATCTTAACAGTGAGGTTTTGAAATCAGAACAGTAATTACTTTCCAAACTTAGGACACTTGGGAGAATTGGCTGTTAAGGGATATTATCTCCTTTTTTAGTCAGTGAGGAAATGACAGCTAACTACGCAAGCTCAAAGACTGAAGGTGAGCAGCAAATATAAACCCTGAGCTTGGCCCACAGCCAACCTAGCAAAACCTGAGATTTTTCTCCACACCATTTGTCTCTTTTCCAGAAGCATTTTCCTTTTTTTTTTTTTTTTTTTAATTCATTTGCAAGAAATTCAGTTCTCTAACTGAATTCAGTTCTCTAACTGAATACATTCACAGAAGATTCAGAGAGAGAATTTAAAGTTATAAATTTCAAAGTATTCCTCTCTACAGGGAATCTGTGTTTTGATGCAGCCCCTCACATTTCCCATGCTTAAATTCCACTCCTCTTTCTTCTCCTAATCAAAGCACATATTTGGGTGCTTGTCAGAAGAGCTGTTCTTTTTTTTGTCYTTCTGGCCCCTTCTTTGGGCTAGATGGACCACTGACTTGATCTGTTATAGCAGTTGCTGTGTTCCTAAAGCTTGAGAATCTGTGTCTTGAAAGGGATTTTCAGACTCTTACTAATGGCTGAAAAGAAGGATACAGAAGTGATGCCTGGTGACACATGCGGTCATCTCCTGCAGACACCACGGGGATGGGAGCCTGCTGTGGGATCATTGCCATGCACAGTGCGAGGCCCATGGGGAGCAGCAGAGCTCTCTGAATGCAAATGTGTTGGCTGCACAAAAGCATGGACTTCTTTTTTTCCATCAGCTAAAATGTTTCTTTTGAGAGTGAAGATTACTTAACTGTTTGGGGAGAAGAAGGAAGAGAGGAAAGTCARTTTCAACAAAAAAAAAAAAAAAAAAATCAGTGAACTGTGTTATAACTGTGTTATACATAGGCATAGCATTTTTGTTGTTTGGCCAAATAGATGCATGCATGACTTTGAGGAGTTAGAAATTGTGCTTGGCAAAAACTTAGGTTTCTCTGTGTCTAAACCATGTCTCTGAAGAGACATGGTTGTTGTTGATGGCTAGCTGGATGTACAGCGCAATGTGCTGGGTTTCCATAGAACAGCTGAAAGTTTTGCTCTCTGACAGCGTAGTGGGGAGCTGCAAAATCACTGGTTGTGATTGTTGTGATTGTGTAGTGTGCCACACTAGCACGTGGAGTGACAGCAAAAGTGGTGCTGAGCACAAAGACCTGGGGCACTGTCCCACACTGTCCACGTTTGCCTGGAAGCAGGAGGCAATAGGAGGGAAAGCAGCACTGCATGAGACCCCGGGGAGGCAACAACCTGCTGCAAACAGCTCGTAACTTTGTCCTCAATCTACCCAAAACTGCCACTGAAACCAGGTGAGGAGCTCATCTCCTGCATGTGCCAACGCTTTCCTCAATTCCCAAACTCTTGCTGCGTGGTAAAATGCACTGGAAGTCCAGCCAGTTAAAACAGAGCTATGATCCAATAAATCATTTGAAAGTGTTTCTAAAGAAAAATACAATCTCTGAAGACCAAAGTTTTCGGCTGTGATGTTTTGTTTCCGTTTTGGAAGTATATTGAAAATAATGTGAAGTTTGGTCTTGTGTAAGTAATGGCAGATGCTCGCTGTTTTAGTGCAAAGTTGAGGAAAAAAGGGGACAATGAAGATAAAGTTGGATCCAGCARAGTAACATTGTTCCTATCTCAAATAATTACTGATAATAGCACTGTGTTCCATACTTTATAGGGTTAACTGTAAGCAAAATATGTCTTATTTTAACTCATTAATAAACAGGTTTAATTCCTTTTTCTTTTTTTTTCTTTTAACAAATTTTGCTACAAAAACTTTCTTCTTGGCCCCGTGATACCCAAGCTGATACCCAGTACTATTGTCTCAAACCATGTGAGGTTCTGGGTAAAGTACATCTTGCATAAAAGCCTGTATTTTTCCTCCTTGTTAAACAAATACACATTTACAATTGGTCATCCACTACATGGCACTCAACTACTACTAGTAGTAGTTTATTGTAGTAGTAGTGGTAGTAGTAGTAGTAGTAGTTTATCCTTTCCCCTCCCTTCTACAGATTGCTCAGATTGCAAGTTTATTTTACATTTGGGCCAGCTCTAGGTAAAGATTACTGTAGTAAATGCCTTTTTTTTCCCAAATTAGTACTGATTAGTAACACTGTATGTCCGTATATGCCTCCACCTATATGCTATCTGACCCAGCAATGCACCAGCAGGATGCCTTTTTCTAGCTATGGTTTGGAAGGGAGAGGTACCAGCCCAAAGGATCCATCCCTGCACTGACTCTGCTCCCAGCATCCGCAGGGATCCTGCAGATCCAGCCSTCTTTTTCCAGGGCTCCAGAGCATGGCCACCGCTCTTAGTGGCGATTTCCTAACAGTTACAAGCTGGTCCTGGTTGTTTCAGAAACCAAATTGAATTTTCAGTTCCCCCTATAACACCCTTGATTTATTTGGGGACAAATCCATGTTGAAGTAAGCCCAAGTTTTCCTTTTGTTAGGCAGGAGGGAAGTGCGAGTATATATCTGTAGCCACCCAAATGAGTAAGCCAGGAATTCGTGAATGATTCATAAATCACTATAAATGCTATCTAAATCTACTAAAAAGGACTCCTGTCTGACTATACATAGTAGTGTATTAGATGTTAAATCAAATGCAAAATCTTCAAAACTGTGCTTTTCATTTTGAGTTTTGAAAAAGGAAAGGAAGGGA